CACTGAAAGGCAATTGCCATGAGACCATTATTCAATCGAAACGATATATCTCGTCCGTTGCTCGAACTGGAGCGTAGCGATAGCTAGCTCTGCAAAAGTTGGCACGCCAGGCCGTAGAGACCACTGCCAATTTCCATTAGCCCATCATCCAAAACGAAAAATGCATAGACGATCATTTTTTCATTCAATTAAAATTGGCCACCAACCAAAACGGTTAGACATGTTTAAGTGGTACATTATAGTAACATTCAAATATGTTTCTAATTTACATTTTGTGAGTGAAGGTTTCACAGGTTGAATGATAGTTGAAACCGAAGCTCACCCAAAGTTTTAGGAGATTAATGTTCTGTTTCTATTAATGTACGCTTGGTATACTAAGTTACTTGATGAATAAATAGTGAACGTAATTCCATTCCATTTCATTCTCACGAGTTGGCGTACTATAATTTAGTGAATAAATTCCAGATATTGAACAGTGTTATGTTTTATTCAAGTGAAAATTTGAGAAACAATTTTTAAGTTTAAAATAAAGAAAGTATTAGGTAGCATTTTGTTGGAGCTGTTAAGATTTTGAATACAATATATAACATGATAATTACTATGAGTATGAAAGGGTACGTATGATAGTAAAACTCATATATATATTAAATCTGTTCGCTTTTTAAAATCCTTTCCTGAAGCAGTTACATACATTTCAATAAAATCATTTTGTTAGAGTACTTACCGAAGCAAAATGCCATTGCTCTCAGTGCGCGCTTTGGTAGTGCACTATTTCATCACAAAATACATATGTACAGCAGGATTCGCTCTTACGATCTAGGCATCTATTTAGTTATCACATTTTCCATGACCTTTCAGTGGAATGAAATCGCCACTCTGCTTTTCATCGTACTTAGCTGTTCTTTCTTTCAAAGTACTTAGCTTATATGTTTTGATAGGGAATTTACGGAATAGGCTTGGCACTATCTCATTAATTTTATATAACCCTTCGCTTGACCCCTTTTTATTATTTAATTAGAAATCAATTATGTATTTAATTTTTTCATACAATGACGAAGGAAATATAGCATACTGCAGTACATAGCGTGCTACAAACATCATGAACACAATCCAAATCCAACAAAATTCCACAAAAACCAAATTTAAATATTACTTTAAATCTGTCATTGTCATTTGAAAAAATAGCGGCTGGAATTTTTTTTCATTATTCAAATATAAAATTTTAATAATATTGCGTTAAAATAAAATTTAATATAAAAAATCATTGTAAATTATATTACATTTAGCAAATATGACATGAATGACATGACACACTACACAGTAGTACTCAAACAATGTATAGTAACTATACATTGTTTGACTTTTATAAGCATTGATTAATTTCGAAGCGTCCATAAAATGAAATTTTTGATTTATACAGCAATGTAGGTGCGTAATAAAATCATGGTATCGTAATGGCTTTTCTGCGCCAACCGTTGATTATCGAGCCATTTTCGCCGACAACATCGAAAATCCATAAGCTTTCAATATCGTAGAGTTAACTCCGGTTTTGTTCCTAGTGGTTGCTCGATCTGAATATCAAAAATGTGAAAGCAGTCGTCAGTAACCGAGACACGTATATCGGGACCCTATCACTTCGCTCTTTACTTACTTGCTGGGCGCCATCTGCGCATTCTCCACCTAATCCAGTAACAAATTTGATTATGTAACAATATAGAAAAAAGTTGCTATTTTGTTTTCCATTTATAAATTCGAGGCGAAAATTGTTTATCACTTAAACGATTTATGTTGAGCTAAGCCAGTTCAGTTCCGCGAAAGGCATGGTTATAAAGCCGAGTTCTTTGCTTTATTTATTATTTCTTGTTTAAAAAATATTATTTGTACCAACCAATATTAGGATAATCAAAATTTGTTTGGCTGTTGATTTGATTGTTGCTGTATATTTCATAACTGTCTATGTTATACAATTAGTCCCAACTTAAAACTTTTTAATTAGTCATACGAAAAACTGTAATTAAGTAGCTGTCAGCTGCAGTCCTATGTATTTGTCTAACGTTTCATAACTCTCTATGTTACTTTTAGCAACATAGTTAATATTCGTTAATAAATGTAATGAAACGTAGACAAATAAATAGGATTGTAACTGTGAAATTATATTGTAATTATTGCCTAGTGTCAATGTTGGCAAACAAAGTCCAGAAGTTTTTAAGTTCGTTGCAAACGGAACCCCAATCATGTATATTTCACTTGGTCTTGGCCGGTTTTTAAAACTTTAAGCGATGAGACTTCTTCGTTCCAATGAAACCCAAAGAAACTAAATCGGAAAACTTTTGGTATTTAAGCTTTTAGGACTGTGAAAGTTAGTAAGTTTGAAAGAAGAACAATACTTTACATTTAAATTTATAAAATGGTATCGAAAACGATCACTGTTTATTACATAAATTATTAATACATACCTACATAAAAAAAAACTTATACGTATTGAATGATGTGAAAGTTATTGTAATTGACAGTTATAATTATTTTAGGGTTCTCTGTAATGAGTCGAATGTGTCGCGATAAGGACTAAATGGAAGGACTATATTAACAATAATTTAGTTTAGTGAATTAAAGTGAATGTATATGAATACTATACTATACTATATTTATATATGGCAGTAGATGATAGATGTTGATTATATTAATAATGATAAAATCGTAGTCTGAGACTTCCTAATGACGTATAATAATTTCTAGTATACATGGATAACTTATATTTCAAATATAAGTTATCCATGTATACTACAGTTTAGGTACTAATTGTATTATAATAGAATTAAAACAGACAAAAGAATGGCTTATGAGCAATTTAATTTGTAGAATAAGAAAATAGAATCTTAATCTTTCCACAATGTTTTGTGGTTTCAATTTTCACTAAACTTTATGGTAACTCAAAACCTCATCGTAAGGTAAAAGCAAATTGAGAGGCTTTACTCGTTTTCTTGTAAGTTAACAGCTATAATTTAAACTTAATAATAAAGACGGACAAGCGGCTTTGTTTGTTCTCGAAAGGTAGAATTTCGTGCAACTAAATGAATGCTAATTAAGAAATGTGAGCCTTGAGGAATAAGGGCGAATTGAGGAGCGTGACAATCTGAAATATCTGACATTATAATTATGAAAAATTAGGACGATTATCCTTGGTAAAATTTTCTGCAATGATTTCAGAATATTTCAATTTAAATTTTGGAGGAACAATAAGAACATAGTTTTGTGATTTATGTTTATGTATTTTTAATACATCGTTATGTTACACCATTTTTTGATCTAATTACATACACTTTTATGGCTTATCTACGTGTTAGTCTGTTACACGTTATCATTGTACCACCTAGTAACTTAACAGTAAATCAACTTGTTTCATAACCTACAAGAATGTTAACGGTAGTTATGCCACCATGTACGATTGGTATAATATTGTACTCCTCATGAGTAATTTATATCATGATCAGTTTTATTGATAGTTAGTATGTTAAAATTTTATTCGTTCATTGAACTACTTTAATAGTCTTTAAGCAACGAATACTGCTTTCAACCAGTTGGGCCACTAGCTTTTAACCATTTCAGTCGCAAAACACTCCTGTTATCAATTTCTAGCCATAGTATTATTATAGTAAAATATAAAGATTAAAGTATTTTTTTATATACATTTGGATCGAGATGAAGAGAAAATGAATAAGACGCCATAAATAATGTTTATTATAGAGTATAATACTTACTCCACTTTTCTTTGATCCCTTCTGACCACTACAGGAAAATACTATACTAATTTGATAGTCTTTATTATTATTTTATATTATTTGAAATAAATAAATAAATTATGAAGAAAAATAATTTTAATATTTTTCTTGGGTATCAATTTTGTGTAGATAGTGTCGTTGATTGAGGATTCTTAACACTTTACTCAAAACAATATCGTATGCGACAATTAGAAGTGAACAGAGTGAACACTATGAAAAGTTATTTTTTAATTAGATTGTGTTCTATTATATAATATTTCAGGTTTATATATTATATAGGTTTACTTTACATAGGTAGTAATATAAATATAAGTAGTGAAATAAATATAGGTAAGATTTAGTTATTTCTATAGTATATAAAAATACTATATGAATAATAAATGTCATGACGTATATTATAAGTACAATCTTTAGGAACATTATAGTCCTGGCTGCGATTCGCTTTCCGCTCTGAGGAGATATTGTAATGAAATCCTGCCATCTGTTTTATCTCGTACCGTAATATGATGTGGGCTCTACATCTGCTTTTCGTATAGTCCGATTAAAATAATTTACATATATTACAATACGAGTTGTTCCTTTATGTATTATTAAATTTAAGACTATATTTAAAGTAAATGTTATTAGAACACACTCTAAAAACATTTACTTTTAAAAAAGACTGTCTTGTATAACATAATGGAGCTTCTAATGAAACCCAGATTTATATATTTAAGTATTTTAATTTCGACAACGTTTACAAATTAGGTAAGTACAAAGGAAGTGAACTCAATAATCGACGAACGTCTATATAAGAAAAAAAAAAAAATTATGCAGGTATACAAAAAACAAGTGCGCGACTATATAATGCATCTTCTTGGTGCTATTAAAATATATCAGGCGCTTTAGGCCTGAACATCTTCCCGCCCGTTGAAAGGAATTTCAACGTTGAAGTTCTTCAATAGTTGGCAACGGACAGATACGGACCAAGGGTCTGCGTACACATCCCTTTATGGTATTGATGTCAGCAACTCTGGAAATGCCATCTGGTCCAGGATACAAACGAGCTACTCGACCTAGACGCCAGTTTAAAGGAGGCACGTTGTCTTCCTGTAGGAGAACCATATCACCAATATTCAATTGAGCTGTGTTAGATCGCCATTTAGTCCTTTGCTGTAGTTCTGATATATATTCTCTTTGCCAGCGATTCCAGAAATGTTGACGAATTTTCTCAAGGCGGGCTTAGCGTTTCAGTTGATTTTCGTTACAATTTAGTAATGATGGTGAAGGCAGCGCAGTCAAGGGTCTGCCAATTAGGAAGTGACCAGGAGACAATGGAAGTAGATCATTAGGGGAGGACGACAAAGGGCATAAAGGACGACTATTAAGTACAGCCTCCACTTGCGAAAATAATGTAGAAATTTCCTCGAATGTCAAATGACTATTCCCTATGACTCTTTTTAAATACCCCTTTGCGCTCTTTACGCCTGCCTCCCAAATACCCCCAAAGTGAGGAGCGTAAGTAGGAGTAAATATGAACTTAAAGCCTTCATGATTTGCAAAGTCAGATACGCTGTCAATGTTTGATTTTAGAAATTCTCCTAATTCTTTTGCTGCGGCTACAAAATTACGACCATTGTCGCAGAATATCTCTAATGGTTTACCGCGGCGCGCGACAAATCGTTTGAGCGTCATAATAAAAGACTCCTTTGACAAATCGTTTACCGCTTCTAAATGAATACATTTATATCGCAAGCATACAAACAAACACAAGTATGCTTTAATCAATCTACTGCCACGTCCCTTTCTATTTAGTATATGAAAAGGACCAGCGAAGTCCAAGCCAACTGATAAAAATGGGAAGTCGGGAGTTATACGTTGGGAAGGTAAATTACCCATTTTAGGGCAAAGTGTTTTGCCACGAAGACGCCTACAGCGTACACAGTTGTTAACAACACGCCTAGCTAGGTGCCTTCCATTGACAGGCCACACAATTTCTCTCACTACGGCTAATAATAACTGTGGGCCTGCATGCATATGACTTATGTGTTCTCTTTCGAAAATGAGCTTGGTTAAATGGTGAGATGCATGTAAAAGTATAGGATGCTTCTGTTCATATGTACAATTAGACGCATGTATTCGTCCTCCAACCCTGATTAATTTGTGATCATCTAGAAAAGGAGACAACTGCAATATTTTCGACTTAGAACTTAACATCTTATTATTTGATAGTATATTTAATTCTATTGGATATATTTCTTGTTGAGCAATGCCACAGAGTATTATAAAAGCTTCATTTAATTCATTTATAGTTAATTTTCCTGAACGTTGATTTTTATTGTTTTTTAAATTATATATAAACCTCATTACGTATGCTAAAATTCTTTGTAGCTTGGTTAAATTAGAATAACGGTTGATTTGAATTATTGGATTCGGAAGCATTGCTATATTTGTCTTAATTTCGGATAGTGTTTCGTAGGGTTCAGTACAAGATTTTAATATTGGCCACTCAGCCTCATTCTGAAATAAAAATGAAGGTCCCGTCCACCATAAATTTGACATAATAATTTGATTACCATCCAAGCCCCTGGATATTAAATCTGCTGGGTTAGCTGTAGTAGGGACATATCGCCATGCTGAAGAATGAGTGAGTTCGACAATCTCACTAATGCGATTAGCTACGAATGATTTTAGTTTCGTGACGTCATTATTGATCCATGACAATACTACGCTAGAATCGCACCAATGAATTATGCGATATGGTGTGTACCTTATGGACGTCTCAATATCCCTACATAATCTGGCAGCAAGAAGTGCAGCAGAAAGCTCCAAACGAGGTATTGTCATGGGTTTAACTGGAGCTACCTTGGATTTGGCACAAAGTAACCTTACGGTAATGTCATTGTTTGCGTCTATTGACCTCACATACACACATGCACCGTAAGCACTTTGAGAAGCGTCGCTGAATGAATGCAGCTCCACACATACAGGTGAGTCGCAAATCACCCACCGTGGAATCTGTAATTTTAGAAGGCAAGGCATATTTTTGATAAAGTTTATCCACTGTTCCCTAATATCATATGGGACTGGTTCATCCCAGTCTATCTTTTGTAACCATAGTTTTTGTAACATCATTTTAGGCTTGATTATACATGGACTTAAGATACCTAAGGGATCAAATAATTTAAATGAATTTGACATTATTACTCGTTTTGTAACTGTTTCGTATTCTAGGTGAAAATTTATCGGGAAATGCAAACAATCATTCGATGGGTCCCAACCAAGCCCGAGAGTGTTCGAAGACTCACTAATAGTTAAATTTTGTTGCGTATCTATATTTGAATTTTCAAACAGATGTTCCAAATTACTTCTATATTTTCTTAAATTAAAACAACCGGATAGTAATATCTCGGAAAATCTATTTTGTATATATCGTAATTCAACTGCATCATTAGATCCAGTGACAAGGTCATCAATGTAAAAATCTCTTTGAATAATACTACTAATTAATTCCTCTTCCTGCTCTTCCCCTAATTTTTTGATACATCTTGTGCTCAAATAGCTCGCACTTGCCGTACCGTAAGTGAGAGTATTTAATTGTAATGTTCTGATGGGCTGGGACTCATCTTCTCTCCACAGAATAAGTTGCAAGTTTCTATCCTCCGATTTCACTTGAACCTGGCGATACATTTTCTCAATGTCACCAGTTAAGAGGTATTTGTATTGTCTTGCTCTTACCAAAATGGAGAAGAGGGAGTCCTGTACATTAGGACCCACCATCAGAATGTCATTTAAAGAATACCCCGAGGAAGAGGGAGCGGACCCATCAAACACTACTCGAAGCTTGGTAGATTCACTACTGTTTTTAAATACAGCGTGATGACATAAAAAGTAAGCTGGATTTGGTTTTAGTATAGGACACTCCGAGAGATGACCTAATTTCGCATACTCTTTAATAAAGTTGGAATACTCCAGTTTTAGTTTAGGCTGCCTTTTAAACCTTCTTTCAAGACAAAGAAAACGTTTTCTTGCTAAATAAAAGGTATCTCCAAGGCAGTCTGTGGAATCTGTTAGAGGTAGTTTAATACAAAACCTACCAGTGTTTAGGCGAACTGTATTGTCTATGAAGTGCTGTTCACAAATTTTGTCGTTCTTACTCATCACTGTTTTCTTAGGAAGTTCTTCAATTTCCCAAAATATTTTGAGCATGCTATCAATATTAGATTCTACTTCAACATGCGATACTGAATGATGACAATTAGTATATTTATTGTATGAATTATGTATAGAATGCGTAGGGCCAGCTATCAACCAGCCAAGTTTAGACTTTATTAATATAGGTTTATTTGGACCTAGAGAACGTTTTTCGTTTCCCAAGATCTCCCAAAACAAATCAGATCCTATCAAAATATCAACTGTACCAGGTTGATTAAAAGTAGGATCTGCTAAATTGATGTCTTGAGGAATGTCAAATTTATGTACATCTATAGGGATCTTTGGAAGATCACTTGTTAATTTATTCATTACCAAACACGACAGTTTAGCAGTAAATTGACTATTTAGAGATGTTATTTGTGTAATACAGGTTTCCCTTACTTTATCATTGCAGACATTACCGATACCAATAACATTTAGCGCGTCTATAGGATTAGAATCTAATGAGAGTTGGTCCTTTAATGTTTTAGTAATAAATGAGGACTCACTACCACAGTCCAGTAAAGCACGTGCCTTTTGTGTCATACCAGTATTAGGATTGCATATTTCGATAACTGCTGTACCCAATAATATAGTGGTATTATTTTGTTTTGAAAAATTAACAATAGTTTCAGATTGGTCAGCACAATTAGAACCAACTGAAGTAGTATTATTGTGAAGGAGACTATTATGTCTTTTTTTGCATTCGCGACAAGGTCCTAACCGGCAGTTATTTACAGGGTGCCCTTGGCGAAGACAATTAGCACACAATTTATATTTTGTAACCTCAACCCATCGGTCCTTTATGGATTTTGCCTTAAATGTGGGACAGTCGTATATTCGATGACCTTCATTACAAACAACACAGGAATACACATGTGCGTTTGATTTATTTACACTAGTAGTAGCGAATGACTTAGTATCCAAGGGTCGTCGTTGTTTGTTATTATGAGGCGAGAGTGTGGCACCTGTAGGCGTATTATTATGTGGGACATTATTAAATTTATTGCGATTCAATGACTCTAAGACATCAGCACGATCTATTAAGAATTTATAAAACTGATCCAGAGTTGGTATATTATCAAGTGAGTTGCGAAATTCTTCCCATTTTGTAAGTGTACGGCTATCCATTTTAGACGACAACATGAATATAATCAATGTATCCCATTTATCAGTTGGTTGACCTAAATTGGTTAAAGCACGAAGATTTTTTGTAACGTGATCAACCAAAAATCGTAAACCTTTCTCGGATTCGCGATTAAGTGTTTGTATGCTAAACAATGAACTGAGATGGAAGTTAACAAGCAATCTTTTATTATCATAACGCTCACAAAGCAGCCTCCATGCTTCATCATAATTGGCTGAAGATACTTCGAGATTTGAAATTATTCGTGCAGCATCTCCTTCCAAATAGGAAGCGAGATAGTGGAATTTGTTTATAGGTTTAATACGGTCGTTATTGTGAATTAAATTTTCAAATGTATCGCGAAAGTCTAACCAACGAAAGTAGGCGCCATCAAACTTAGAAATTTGTAAGTGGGGTAATTTGAAGCTAATTTCATGGTGATCGAGAGAACAATGGGATTCATGAACCATAGACTCTCGTCTTTGGTCATTTTCTAATTTATTATATTTTTCTATTAAGGTTTTGGCTGCGGCTATATTAATAATAATGTCGCTCTCAATGTTTTCTCGCTCATCCAATTCTATACTCATATTATCAGAATTCAACACCTCTATCTCACTTTGCAAATCATCAAATCTCACGGATAAACCCTCGAACTTACTAAGTTTTAGTTTTAACTCAACTAATTCGATGTTTGATAACTGTAGTTTAGTGTTTAAATTATTTAGATAGTTTTTAAATTTAGTAATTTGGCCTTTTATTGAGCTACGCTTTATGTTTAAATCTCTTAGTTTTGCTGTACCGTACATCGGTTTATCAGTGGGATTCGACATTTTTTATAAACTGGCTTCACTATCAATCAATCAATTTATTTGAAATAAAAATAAAAATAATGATATTCTCACGCTTCTCACTGCAAACCCTTGGGAGACTTGGCGTGCGCTGACAATGAAGCAGCAGTGGTGTGCTGCTGCACTTGTAGGATGAATATCTGCCGACAACCTGGAATTGTTCAGCAATTCGCATAAATACACTGTACTTAACTTAATTAAATATAATAGCTAGAATACAAACTTCAAAATACAGAAAAACTAATACGACTATAGTAACTATAATATGTACTGTAACTTACAAAAATAGAAGGCATGATTAAAATCTGTAAACACAAAAGTATAATCTAATAGATAACCTCCTTTTATGAAGTCGGTTAAGATATAAAAACATAAGAAATGGCAAACTATTGCTAATTTATTAAATCAATATTTTCACCAAACAATAAACTTATGTTTAATTTATAAGACCAGTACTATTTTTCCAAAACAAAACCTATTTTATACAATTATACAACTAATTATGCATTAAGGTATAAGTATTCTATTTTGTAATGTGTTAAAAGAAATATATATGTATTATGCAATTTTTTGTTACCAAAATCAATATTTCAAACAAGGTATGAATATATGAATATAGGTATATATATAGCTATGTAAAATATATTACGGTATTTATTTTATTATGAGTTTTCTATGATTATTATGTTACTAATAGAAAAGAATTACCTATTGACTTAATTTTAGGTTAGATTCAATTTTGTTTTACAGAATTATATGATCTTATTTATATGCATAAACAATTAAATCACAGGTATGACTTGCGAAAGCATGTACTAATAGAGGTATAGGATAGATTGGTATTTGTAATTTAGGTTAATTTAGTATGATTAAGCAAGGACAAAGGAAATACACTTATCTTTTTTGTAATACTGCGCTGCGGTGTGAAACTTTAGCTGCCTCACTGCCCTTTTTATGATATTGCTTGATGTATGTAGATTATTTGTCAATATTCATGTATTTTCCTCTTCAAATACCAAACTTTAATGTACTTGCATATTACGGCGTCATCCGATTCACTTGATTTCGATCAGATGATAATGTGTGATTTCTTCATATAATATTGTTTCTCTTCATGGGCCACCAATTTATGTCTTGTATAACATAATGGAGCTTCTAATGAAACCCAGATTTATATATTTAAGTATTTTAATTTCGACAACGTTTACAAATTAGGTAAGTACAAAGGAAGTGAACTCAATAATCGACGAACGTCTATATAAGAAAAAAAAAAAAAAATTATGCAGGTATACAAAAAACAAGTGCGCGACTATATAATGCATCTTCTTGGTGCTATTAAAATATATCAGGCGCTTTAGGCCTGAACAAGACAATATTTTTATATATTTCGAATGAAAAACCTGATAGTAATTTTTTGACTATATACATGAACAGCAACACGGTATCACATCATTGTAATGCACGTTAATCACTCATGGGTTCCATTTCGGATGATTAAGATGTCATACCTCAGTGTTCTATAATTTCACTTATTTCGCCCATTACAAAGTTGCTCGGCGGATGAAATAAAAGAATCAGAGCTACCGATAGACTTTAAACAAAGTAGATTTTATATATCTATAAAGTATATCTCTGTTGAATTAAAATGAGTACACAAAAATTAAGTTTGAAGTAAATTCTGTTATGAATAACTTGTCATTAACATATTATATCGGAAAATGTGACAATTTTAGTATTGCAGATAGAAGTAGATATCCAATATTTCTATTACCTACATATTTGTGATCTTCTTTTACTAATACTCAAAAATCTTTCAAGATTTTAACTTCTAGTAATAATTAATTTATATAAAATGAATACATAAATTATAATTAAGACATCCAAATTGTATAAAAATATTACATAATAAAATACCAATTTATGTAGGTAGTTAAGTAATAATTAAATTAAACAAATAAATGTTTTTAAAGTTAATCTATGTTTAATGAAATATTATTAATGTAATTTAAAATTAACAGCTTTTAACTAAACGCATACGAAAGTACATACTCATACGGCATAAACATTAAATTGATGTTTATTTGTTCGAAACTACTGGACTAATAATGGCGGGACTTTGATTATCTAAAAAAAAATTCCACCCGGACGAAGTGACGGGCAACAGATTGTACTTATAAGTTAATAAAACATTAACATTTTAAAATATCTCTTATTATATAATGTACTTGTTTTAGAGTACGAATATATTTTATATGTAAAACTTTAATTGTTATTTATTATTCTCTTTAAACAAATTTTGACTTATTAATAACCCTAGAATGAAACAAGCTCATTTATTAAATATAAAATCAGTAAGTTGAACTTACGCATCAAGAATTCGCTATTTATAAATATGTGTGAAGAGGAATTTGTTTTTTTGGGATCATAATTTATTTGAATACTTATTCAAATAAATTATCTACTTGATACTATATCTACTGAGCTCGTTTTTTTTTGTATCTGCCCAAAAGAGTTTTATTGTGCTTCTTATAAGAAATAAGTACCTTATAATGTAATAATTAATATTTCCTCCCCGGAATAGTCTTTAGATTTTACTAAAGACTAATCTTATTGTATAACCAATTTTGATTGTGGAGGATTTTTTAAGAGAATGTTAATTTTTCTGTAATTTTTACAAAAAAGTATCTAATAACTGTTTTTTTATTCAACGAGACAGCTCGTAAAAGGTGTTAAAGCTATTGGAATCTACAAATATTGCAATAACTTCTGCTTCAATTAACAACACATCTAAATATCATACAGAATAGTGTGAATCTCCAGGCGTGGAGAGACGATGGAGTTATGCAACTATTTGCTATTATGATGGTGTGCTATAAACAGTGTGACATTAAGTTTGCATATATGGAAGTATACCGACTTACTTCCGATGTATGTACGCCAAACACGTATGTTATTACCAATGTCTGACACTATGACGAGTGTTTGTATGAGACAAGTATTGTACAATGACAAACCAACAAGCACCGAGGTACACAGTGACACATGTGATCCGTAAGCAATAATCACACCATACGACCTGATAATGTTGCGTACAGAATGCTCTAATATCCGATTTGTATTCGTGGTCGCGTTGTTTATGGGCCATTGAGATACGAGCGCCCATTGACTGGGCAATTTACATTGAATCGTTACTTTTGTGCACATAAAAGGCACTTATCCATTGGGAAGCTACAATATCCTAATTATAGATTACATAGTATTAGGCACACTTTCTAATCAAATGCCCTTCATAAAATATACATATTAAATATACATATTATATATATACTAAATTCAAATACAGGAATTATACAATACATACTTGAATTTGAATATCTTTTTTGTATATCTAAATAATATATATTTAAAAATGACAGCTATTGTTAAGGGCAATTATAACAAGTGTGTAAGTGTTGGTAAGTAAAATTATTATTGAACTATGTACCTCATTAATACAATACCTATCACAGTTCTATTAAAGACTGTTCTGTGATATTGATATTAGGTATAATTGCTTTGTACACACAGTTTTCTTTTACATAATTTGAACAAAAAAACTGAACTGAGTAAAAAATTGACTATAATATTCTGAGTATATTAATAATTGTTAAATATTTCAAATAATATAATTAAATACAAATTTAATTAATGTAAAGAAAACCACAAAAAATCAAGTCAAATCCTTACTAGTTTAATTGTAACTTGATTCAAGGCATATACATAGTATGATGACTTCAGTAAGTACTTCAGACATTATAATTAAATATATACCTTTGTAGTATTGTATACTAAACTTTATTTTATAATAATAAAAAAGGTAGGAATTTCTTATCGATGGCTTTTCGTACGGAATCCGAACTTTAACAACAAGGTATCGAACAAGAACTGTAAACTTTCATGAAAATGCAACTGATAAGGGTCATATTTGCATCATTAAAAGTTTCGAAATAGCTGATTGGAACAGAACGTAGGCAAACTGGATATCCATATCGTATTTAGAATCAATATTGTAATGCGCTTCAATATACATACGAGTACAGTAGCTTTCATTCCATAGTGCATAGGAGTAATAATTTTACAACTTTAATGTACAACTTCATTTATAACACAAGTAAATACATATACTTTTTTTTACTTGTGATTTCACTGCTTATAAATTTCAATAACACTGATTATAACTAGATGTATGGGTACCTCTTAATGCCTCTCAATTTTCACGAAATATGAAAACATGCACCTAATATGAATTAAATTAATTATATAGTGGACTAGGTTACAAGGTATTAAAATTTTTATTCCGAAAAAAATAATGCATATTTTTTTAAACAAACTCTAAATATAATGAAAGTCCACTATCTTTAATTTCTGAATACAATACTGCATGTTCTTCACGAGAAACTTATTGTTATACCTACATTTCGGGAAACTTTCTTGATAAATGAGCACTGTTTGCAATTTAGTGTACTGTGAAATGTAGAAACATTTTCGTACAAGTAATACGTATCTGATAGATGTCATTTTGTATACGAGTTGCATTTTGTGAAAAGTTTGTATAATTAGAATTTTCTGTAACTATTTAACAAGGTGTAATAATAAAGAGACACTAATTCTAGATATTGTATCTAGTTTACAATTCCTTCAACTTTGAAACGTGTTTATTAATTATAACTGAAGGAAAATTTAAGTCAGTATTAAGTTTCAATATTTCAATAATAAATTTCAATATTACTTTATACATTCTCATATTAATAAGTTCTAAACCAAACTTATCAAAACAAGCCACAATGAATAGTTGCGGCATGATATAATAATATAATACTGCACACATTATTGTCTCTTTCCATTTGTGACGTAGACCATATAAGCAATTAATTGTATACTAACACATTTTTTTAATGATTTAAAGTCATATTTTTTCTTCTAGCTATATAATATGACTAATG